GCTTGGAGTTCAACTGGCAACCGATAGATTGATGAGCTACTGACTGTGATTGGAGGAAAGGAAAGAGGAAGTGCAATATTTTCAAATCCAATTATTCTGACTGCAACCCTGCTCCCCTCTGAGAACAGGATAATATACAACATTTATAGCAAAAAAAATAAATTTACAGTTAAGACAACTGGCCTCTAACCTGAAAATCTATATTTTTTAAAATAAAATGTGTTACAGTATCTAAAACTAAAAACGGATTCTTCAGAAGAAAGAATGCTTGCTTGCAAAACAAATCCACAATTGACCTGACTAATTTGAGGTTACGTCTCACGTTGGTGAGGGACTAGAACTGAAAGAGTATCAAAACAACACATTTTTTTCTCCCACATGTAACATGTTTAGATTCCATCTCTGTGTTTCCTTCATTTAAAACCCCTCATCTGTCTCTGGGCAATGTTCAGACATGCATGAACCCGTTGAGTTGTTTTTGAGAACCACCCTTCATCTGCTGCTTTGAGACTTGTAGCCGTTGAGGTATTCCTGGCATGTTTGCTGTGATTCAGAGGATTGAGTCTGGCTTCATTAAAACCGTTGATCTACTGATAATGTTGAAACACAACCATCCCAACATGGCCGTTTGCCTCCCAAGCGACTTTATTTCCATGTCAGTGGAAGAGAAAATGACGTGTTTCTTTTGTGTTTCTTAGGTTGAATGGTTCACTTCCTAACAATATTGAAATCAAGAACAACAGCCTCTTCTTCAAAGGCCCTGTTAACTACGAGCTTGGTGGGACATACGTATGTGAAGCCACCAACAGCATTGGAACACGATCTGGACTGGTTGAGGTCAACGTGACTGGTAAGTACTGGATATTTATTTAAGTAACCATTTGTAACAGTTGTTTTCATTTTTTTTATGGTCAAAGGCGACTGTAGCTCCACAAATGTGAGTTTTGCATTAGTTTTATTGACTTTTAGAGTGGATCTCAATTGCTATGAAGCAATAGAGACTCATTCACCCAATCAATTTTACCACTCCTACCATTTAATCTGTTTTTTAATCAACCATTATGTTTTCACAAATACACTTTATGTAGACTCCATAGCTCAACATCAGCATGTGGCTCAGTCTGTACGGCATTGTGCTAACAATGGAAAGGCAATGGGTTCAAACCCCAGTAGAAGCAAATACTGACAACATGCAATAATTCCTTTAAATGTAAATCGCTTTGCATAAAAGCGTCAAATGCATAAATGTAAAATGTATTTTGGGGTTTTACATCTTTACATTTTTCAAAACATTTTTAGTTTTTCATCACCAACAAATATTTAATCCAGCCGTAGAGGAAAATTAATCTTGACCAGCCCAAGCTGTGTTTCGGAATGTAGTGTTTGCTGGTTTAAACAGATTGAACAATGAGTCAAAGATGATCCACCAGTTAATAACTGGATTGACCAGCTTAAACCAGCATAAACTAGCCCCCACAATTCCACTACTATCATAGAATAGACTCCATTGATGTAAAATATATTCACCTTGAGATGGTGGTGTCAGATTTCACAGCAATTTTGGCAGTTTGTATATAAAAATGCCACACATGTTCACAAAGCAAACTTAAAAAGTATACAATTATTTAAAAAAATGCAGCATGCATACTAACATTAACTGGCATTAACTGGACAAAACTGGCATAGGATGGAACATGAGCAGTGGCAAATGGTAAATATGGAAACAAAAAAAATCCTTCAATAATTTAATAAATGTCTAGCACAATTGAAATTTAATTGAAAAAAAAATGTAAATAACTTAAAATTTAGTTATATAGATATATTTAAATTAAATGTAAAACTATTCCCAAATATGTCATACAATTTCAAGTGAAAACAAAAGTATTACATTAATTCACACATTTATAGATTTACTAGAATTAATTCAAAATTGTTATCCAGGTAAATTCATATTTGGATTTTTTTTTGTTGCTTTCATTTAAATATTTATGACTTTTTGTTAAATATTTTTGCATCCCCTTGAAAGTGAATGTATTTTTTTTTAACCGTGCTATGCATAACCGGTCAAGCACACAAATTCAGATGATAGTGAGACCAAAATATTCCAAAACATGCTATCGGAATTTAACTCAAGATGAATCAATCGCAAAAGCAATAAATACTTTTATAATAAATTGAATATCTGTAACTTTTTGAATCAAATAACATGCTTAATATTTAATCGAATATTCTTTACATCTGTATCTTAATAAAATCTTCGATTCATTGAAATGATGCAGAAAGGATAACACAAGTCTGGCTTTTCCTGCCATGTTGTGCATGTCGAGGCTTGTGCGTGGATTCCTCTTTACAGTGCTGTACGTGCAGAACTCGACAAACCTACCTGGTGGTTCCAGCAGATGACAGAAGGGAAGGAAGTGCTGTCAAAAATCTCCGGCACTCACATCTAACATCAGCCTATGCTGTCAATGACAACAATATTCTCTCGCGCTCAGACAGATGCAGAGATAAAAAAATCAAGGGCCCTGTCACACTCTCCCTAAAATAACATGCCTGTTGCGTTACCTCTTTAGTATTGATCACAGGCATTTTGCAACAAACTCGCATTTCTGTGAGCTACATTCGCCTCCCACTTCTTCTCCGTCTCCTCCGCCTTTTCTACGGTGAAAACAAGAACTACAAAGTAACACAGAACAAAACTGTAGCCTCCTCTCTAATTGTCGTATCAAACACCTCTAGTTTACTCATCTGGCTTTGCTATGCTTTCAGAACAAAAGAAAATAATGAAAGGAGGTGAAGCTGCTCTAAATTGCAGAGAAGAACCTGAAAATTGGTCCAATATTTGTGGGGAGCAAAGGCTTGTACCGTTTTGTTCTGATAAAAGCTTGTACGCCTCTTTTTCTGCTTCCAATGAGAGCTTCTAACATCATTGCTTTGCATGCTGGAGTCCATGGCTCATTTTCTCTGTGCCTTATTTTTTTGCGGGAGTTGTTTTGCAAGGAAAACTTTGTCCTTTCTCATCCCTGCCGATGCAGATGTGGTGATGTCATCTTTTCCGGTAGCAGGATTTTGATGATAATCTCTGCAATCAGGAGCAATGTGTTTTTGGAATCTGGATGACTGATATCGAACGATGAAGGATCATACGCTGTTGTGTTTATGCTTCAGAATTCGGTGGATTGCTAAATTTCTTTGTAGTGAAGGAAGGAGTTCAGAGGTCGTGGTGTAAGTTTGCAGAATGCTGGTGCTTTGCCAGTACTTTTTTATTCAGGCTGTGTTTTGTACAATACTTGAATCTCCCTCTTTGACCAATTGAAATGCATGTTTTGTGTTTAAACGGCGTGTTATCTCTTTAAATGACCCCTTTGTTCTACTTAACGTAGGATTGTGCATAAAATGAATACACATCATCTTGTGCTTGGAAATAAATGTGGGCAAGAGATGGATTGCAGTTATTAAGTTTCCCAAGGATGGATGCAGTCATTTTAAGAAGGCATGGATTGTTTCAAAGTTGTTCACATTTGACATTTTTGAACGATTTCTGTGGTTTCATACAGCAAACGTGTAATTAACAAAGAAAATCGTTAATTTAAACAAGAAGATTGGCAATATTTACCTTTAGCCTGTAAAAAAACAAGTTCTTTATCTGAAAACAGCTCTAAAGCATTCCATTCATGTTGCTTCACGTGACTGCTGACCTCATATGTATGTGGCACTGAACCAAAGCGACCTCTCTTGAAGGACATTTACTTATAAAATTCACCATTTTGCACAAAAGAACTGAGTTCTGAAGCTTTCCAACCAGTTACTGTGACTTTGATCATTTCTATTCATCTAATATTCGTCTTTTTTTCATGCAAACTGTGATCAAACTCTCAGTGAAGTGTTCAGAGCCAGTGAATGCCATTTTATTATTTTGAAATAATACCAGTATGAATTTGATCGTCAAAAAACATTTTTTTTTCAAATGGGTTTAAATTACATTTATGTCCATGATATTTAAATTATCTTGATATTATTATTCCTATTGTAATTTCTAAATAATGTATATTTATGTGATCTACATTCCAGCAAGTGTAGGTGCTGGTTTCAAGGTTTCTTCAGTGTTCTTCCAGTTCATTTTCTAACACCTTACATAAGAACCATCTGTCTTTCCAGAAATCTCCCAAACTCCTTTTTGTCTCCTGTCCCGACTCTCTAAAGGTCACCTGCAGAACACTCTCTGAAAGACGTATTTGTTCTTTCTGAGCTCTATTTGGCAATGCCTGGGGATTGTTTCTGCATTGCACATGGCCATTTGATGATAGATTCCTCCTCCACGGCAATGTCTATCATTTGATGGATCATTTAATCTGGAGGTCGTAGAACTTGTGGGAGAGAGAGCATAGGAAAAGCATCCGTTATATGTAACTACAAAGATTATTGATTAAGGAGTGCTTTGCATATTTACTTTTTTACAACAAGACAATTGTAGAAATACAACAGATACTGTTGTTCTCTGGCTCTCAGCCAGAATTCAAAATATATATAATTAAAAAAAATAATAGTTTGGTACCTAAACATGATAAACTACAATAAAATGTTGTTTTGGCTTGGTTGTGTTTTTCGGTTGTATAATCCTGGTTCACTCATAATTTGCCTTGGAACATTGTTATCAAATTGTAAATCAATTACTGAGTTAAATGAAATTTGGAAAATACCAGAAGATGCGCTAATTTGGGACTTGCTATAATTATACATAACTTGCTTTTTATTGCTGTAGTTTTGTTATTTTCCACAAAAGAAAATTGTTATATTAATGGAACAAACTGACTTTTTTCACCAAACACCTTTTTTCATTTATTCATTCATTTTCAAACCCGCTTATTCCCTTTCGGGGTCACGGGGGTCTGCCGATGCCTATATCCAGCACACATTGGGCGAGAGGCAGGGGTACACCCTGGACAGGTTGCCAGTCCATCACAGGGTCCAGCTCCTTAGACCATTCTGCCACACTACCTTAGCAGAGAAGGGTTTCGATCCATCGACCTCTGGGTTATGGGCCCAGCACAATTCCGCTGCATCACTCTGCTACATCCAGTCACCTTTTTATTCTCAATTTAATTTCTAAACAAGATAATAACTGTGATCGACGAGTGCTTGTTAAAAGAAATTTGAAAGAAAGAACAAGGAAGTAAATGTTGAAGAACCTAATTTGGTTTATGAAGAATACAATGCAAAATAAAAATCAACACAGTTGGCTTAGATAATAAAAATAAATACTCTTATTTATTTGCTTTAAAATTGTAATGTGAATAAAATGAGCAAAAAGGACAATTTCGACAAATTTGCAATTCAGATAAAAAAAAAAAATGCTAAATTCATTTTGGAGTGTCTGCTTCACTGCCGCTTTTAATGCTCTCTACTCTGTGTTACTGAAACACTCACTTCTATCTGCCTTTTTTATGAGATCATTATAGTTTTACTTCTAGTCACAACTCCCATGGCTGCAGCTGTTCTTTCTTATGGCTCCGTATTAATCTCATTCACATTCCTCCTAGTATTTCATTAATAACCATGACTGAAATGTTCGGCCTACACACAATCCATTGAGAAATGTTCTATAGCCACTCCATGGAGGAGAATCCTATTTAAAAGTAAACATGTAATTAAATCTCGGTCCTGGTTCTCCCAAGCCAAATGGAATACTTTAGTAATCATTCATCTAAATCTAATACCTTTCTGTGCTTCTGTAATGGCTTTACTCTTGAATTCTCGTACTTTTCAATCCCTCAATCCTCATCTGGTTGCTATTGTGTGAAATAGCCTCTCCAGTCAATACCGATGGATTAAATCCAGTCACGCCCTTCTCATTTATTTTTTAACCTTTTAATATCTTGACTCAGAATCACATTGGATAGTGGTAAACAATTTTAAATTCATTTCAAATCGACAGAGAAGAGTTTCATTCTGAAACATTTGAATTTGAAATAAAAATAAGGGGTGTTTTCTTCCTCAAGAAAAGAATCGGCATGAAAACTCAATAAAATAACAAAATAAAACATTTATTTAGGCAATTAGTGAAAGGTTTTCTTGCCTCTCGCGGTGCTTTGTCTTCAGATGCCTGGTGAATGATTGTTCCAGAAGTTTTCAAGAAGATAATGTCTGTATTCTGATTTTTTCTTCTTAATGGAACTTTTACAAATATATTCTTTGTGCTCCGTGAGTGTGACATCACAGAGCACCCGTGTTGCTGGTGAGAAAATAAAGGATAATAATGCTGCTTGTTTTGATAAAATATGCTGCTGATTGAGTTTATTAGAAGAGAGGTGCGAAAAAAAGACAATATCATTGTTTTATTTGATGAAAGCACTTACAGCTTGCTTTAAGTTCCTGGATTCAAAGCGCAAGGACCCTTGTGCAGCCGAGACTGTGATCGTTGTTTCCATGACCGGTCAACACTATACCATACTGGAATCTACTTTTCTAAATACAGTGGTACCCCGAGATACTAACTAAATCCGTTCCAGGGTTTCCTTCGGATCTCAAATATTTCGTATCTCGAAGCAAGTTTTACATGTAAAACGCCTAATCCGTGCAACGGCTCTCAGAAACAACATTATAAGTAGATGAAAAAATGGAAAACCAGAGAAAAATCAAGTAACATTTCTTCAATCCTCAAATCTACACATTGTTAATGTAATAAATGATATAAAAACAGAATAAAACACAAGGAAAATACGTAATATGTACACAAATGTGAAACCTTACCTTGAGAGTGAGGCGATGTGTCGGAGGAGGTGAAATGGATGGCAAAAAACATTATGGCACTACATTAAACACTGAAAGTTAACTTTCTCCAGAGTTTTCTAACCCAAGCGGAGACAGATGGAGAGAGGGCTTCTGAGAACGTGTGACTGTGTTTCTCTAGCTTGCGCTATAGAACAGCACTTTCCACGTTATAAACGTTATTTCTTTTACGACACCTTGACTCTAAGATTTGTTATAGCACAATTTTAGCAATCTATTGTTTCGCTGTGTTATTGAACTGTTTTAAAGCGTATCCGACCCTTTTGCACTGGGAGATAGGAGCGCCAGAACCTGGAAGCGCTATGCGACGTCATGACGTCGGGCGGAAAATACAGCTTGTAAATGTTCGTATCTCGAATTTTTCTTCGGATCACGAAGCAAAAAAATTCCTGCGAGACGTTTTGTATCTTGAATATTTCGTAATTCGAAGCATTCATATCGCGAGGTACCACTGTATAGCAATTATCATCAAAAAGACAAAGACTACAATTTAGATGGCTGCCAAAACCAACACTGGCTCTAACATTAACCTTGCTGATTAGGTTTTACAGTTTAAATGCAAATTTCTTTCTTTGTTACCTTTTTAGAGTCAATAAAACATACCTAGATGCAGAACACAGGCACTGAACTGCATAGGATTGTGAAAAGAATTTGCCAACCGTAACAGAGAGGAGGCGGGACAACAAGCAAAGGCAGAATGACTCCATATTCCATAGCTACAATTGGAGACTAATGACAATATTCATTGTCCTTGATTTCCTGTCTGTATCCATACTTGTTTTCTAAATTTAGCGCATATAGAGAATGATCTTTGTAAACTGATTTGGTTTTGCCAGATTTCAAAAAGCAAAAAATATAATGATCTCGATGTGAATGAGGTGTTCTCGCGTGCATAAGGAACTTTTGGAAACGGCTAGTATGAATGTTGAGCCTTTATAGATGAAAATCATTTTTAGACATAGCCACAAGTGCCAGCGCTGCTGGAAACAGTCACATCTTTCCTGGGCAATGTGTGTGGAAGTCAATGAGCACAGAGCACTGTGTTTGGAGTGGGCTGCATTTGACTCTTGCCATGAGAATGAGACTGTAATAGGCCATATGTGCTCTTCTGTCAAGAGGGTTCCCTGTAGTCATGATAAGGACAGATGTAAATGCCTATTATCATCTGGTTTTGGGCACGCAGGCTCCAGAGGAAAGCTACAGGGATCAGGGGGGAAAATTCAAGCCAGGCTCTGTTTTTTGTCACGGCTTAAATGCAATTAGATTATGCCATCGTGTGTTAAACCAACACAACCCAGGTGAATAAAATCTTTGGCAGCGGTGGTGGCGATGTAGAGCCATGCATGACTAGTATCTACAACAGTAGACAACCCCTGACCTAAATCAGCCAAATTGGTTTTTATCTAATCTTTAAACAAGAAAATATTGGAATAAAATACATCACGGACTGTATGTAACATGAATTTTCACTCGCAGTACATTAAAAACCTTAAGCATACTAGAAAAGCTACTAGATAGAAGAACAAATGCAAAAACAGAAGATTCAATGTGCAGAAACTATTTTAAAATTGATGGAAAATGTTGAAAAATAAGGAGACACGGCGGCAACATGTTGATTCCGATTTTAAATGTGATTTTCTTAAACTGGTACATGGAACCAGTCTCAGTATGTACTGCAACCTCAGGACAAAATGCATTATACTCATTTTAATATTAATTTTTATAAGGGTAAAGCCAAAGGCATCTGTGCCAGAAGGATAGTGCTTGTGCATAGCAACACAGCTCTGGTGCGGCGTCTTGTAAACTGCGCTTGAGCTTGTCCATTGTTCTTCGGCTTTGGTCGCTGGCGGCACCTGGAGGGTTTTGTGTTTGGACCACGTGGTCAAGCTGGCACCCCGCAGCAGGAGCTTGCAGCAGCTGCGAGACTGTGTGGAAGAGATGATAACATTGTGAAGATGAATCTGCACACATCTAAGAGACGGAGCCAAAGAGAGATGCGCAACTCAAAAGCAACAGTTTGTTGTGCTTTTGAGAAACATTGCTTTATATGTTCTATATTTTTTTCTTTTTGGTTTAAAGTGAAAATACTTCAAATATTTTTGTTTGGTTTGTTTTAAAAACAATAGAGAATTTTGAGAGTTTTCAAGAAATTCACATGCACATCGTTGTCGTACTGTTCGTATTTGTGTTTTTTCACTGGTTTTCTGCACTAATGTACATTTCAATTATTTTTATTTACCATTTTATTTTGAAACAGTTCAAATTTGCTTGCTTAAAGTCACTCTTCTTTCCATATCCCTCCACTGGCTTTTCATTGCAGCTTGTTAGGGCTCAAGCACAGATGCCAGAACTGGTGTAAATTTACATTTGATTGGGTTCAAAAAGTGAGCGCTGAAAATGGCTGTGTAGCGGCACCCAATGCATTTCAAAGTTTGTCATACGCAACTGAAATTCGGCACAAACTATTTTGTAAAAACCTCTAAAGATTACCATTTTTTCTTGTGTCAAAAACTTAAGAACTCCTCCTAGAGTTTTGATGATTCAGATGATTCGGAAAGAGATGATTTGCTGTGGCGACCCCTAAACTGGGAATAGCCGAAAGTAAAAGAAGAAGAATGTCAAATTTAAAATCCTGATGCTTTCCTTTTTGGATGTGGATAGGGCTAAAACAAAGTTATTGTGACATTTAGAAACTTCTTAAACTATTTTTTTTTACTTCTCTCTGCAGTCTCGAATAAAAGCTTCTGTTAAATAAACTTAACCATTTTGTTTGAGTTAAATATATGATCCCTTTAAAATAATGCACAAGGTACTGCAAGATCCACCAGTGCAAGAGTGATAACACCACTTTAACAGCTGATCTGTCCCTTCAAAATTGGAGCTTCTCTCCCCCAGTGCATTTGCTGATTCTTCTCAAATTTCTAATGTGGTCTCATCTTGTGGAGGGTCGGACTTGCTGGGAGCAGGGGGATTTTAGACTCTGCCTCTGACTGGATCACGCTGAGCATTCAGCAGGGTAGAATGCAGAATGAGCTGTCTTCCACTCAGGAAAAGTCACTATGCAGTAGCCGTCTTTCGTTCTGATGGAAATTTACCTCAAAGCCTGTGGCCACTAATGCGTCCCATATGACCCACGCTCTGCATGCAGGGAACGACCGCATTCAGTGCCCAGACATGGAGTAACACATCTGGCTCCAGTAAAATTCACCTTTTCAAATGTGGTATAATCCACAGAGTTTAATGGAGATTTTACCAAGCTGTGGTCCAAGCTGAGGAGAACATA